TCAGGTTTACTGAACTGTTTGTGCCGGATATGTTTCAGGTTTACTAAAATGTTTGTTCCCGATATGTTACAGGATTACTGACCGGTTTGTGCCGGATATGTTTCAGGTTTACTAAACTGTTTGTGCCGGATATGTTACAGGTTTACTCTGTTGACCGACAAACTCCAGACTCGGCGGCCACGGCCACTGCCCTGATGTGTGGTGTTAAGACTAACAACGGCGTGCTTGGTGTCAAGGAAACAGTTCCAAAGGAAAACTGTGGTGCGGTCGCCGGGCAGGAAGTGACGTCAATATTGAAATATTTTATAGCTGCCGGTAAGGATTTGGAAATGCAATATAAAAGAAGAGTACCCATGAAATGTGATATAAAAAGGTTAAAGTATAAAATTTGCTTTTTTATTAGTTAATTGGTAGTGCTATGTGTGTACAACTAGAAAAGCTGAAAGTCGGTAAACAAAACGGACCATTTTATTATCTTTTACAAGCTTAGTTTTGTTTCGATAAATCATAGGTAACAAGTGTTACAGTGATTCGGACTAGTGAGTGATACTAACACCGCCGACTAGAATCCGTAAGTTACTAGAACTGATTACAACTACCGTATGTGACAGTATTGTCTGCTATAATGTAAAGTACTCAATCTCACGAATACCTGTTTTCATAAATGTGTGCTTCAGACAACAAATTCATCTTTGCGAGGGGTATAATCAGAACGAAACATATTAACTCAAACATCTCTATGTTACACATAACGTTTATTTTGTTATGGTAGGAAGAAGCACTGGACTCGTAACTACCTCACGGGTGACCCACGCCACGCCCGCCGCCGCGTACGCCCACAGTGCGTCCCGGGACTGGGAGAGTGACGCCCTGATGACGACAATCACAGGAGGCTGTAAGGATATAGCCTACCAGCTGGTATATGACAATAACGACATACAGGTTCGTTGTTGGTCCGAGTCCCCAGTGATAGGACTGTACGCCTGTACACTTGTCAGGTGTTTGGTTATGTGTGTTGGTGGTGAAGTGTCGTCCAACAATTATATCATACGATTACATTTCATATGGCAATAACTCGTTAGGAATACACCTGAGAGGGCTTCGTAATAAAGTTTTAAAAACCTTACAATAGAATATATGGAAATCGTACATCAAAATGTATACTCCAACATTGACACTGGTCTACAGTCTCTGGCAAATACTAATACCAACAGAAAAATAATTATCGTCAATATTAAAATAAAATACTGATTCAACTTACTTCCACAAACATCATTTAAAATTCCAAGCAGATGATTAATGAATTATCTACTCTTTTCAGTTCCGTTGACTCGAAGGCATTATTTAACTTTTTGAAAGACATCGGGCTATTTTATGGACTATGATGTCTTTTAACCAACCTTACCCTTTTTTGACGCTATATATATCACATAGTCCATATAATCTATTCGTTATCTCTTTTATTATTTTAACCCCCTTTTTTATTTTAACTATATACACATACAATGCGAATGCTTTTAAAATGATTTTTTTTATTTGATTTTATTTTCGCTACTCACATGTTTGTTTAAAAAATAAAATAAATAAATAAATCACCATGGCCCTAAATGACCACAGCCGTCGATGGGCCGTTAAACCCAAACAAACAAAAAAATCTATAATCATAAATAAACCCAATTTCTGTTTTAGTAACAATATGTTACGTCATTGGAGTATTTGTTGTTTTCTGTTGCTAGGTTGTGTTGGGCGGTGGTAGGGGTCCGTTCCTGCCGGACAGACAAGTGGACCCAGAGACACAGACAGTTGGCTGGACACACAGGAAGGACGGACATGATTTGACAGAGGTTTGTACATGGTTTACGTGCCCTACCTATTGCTTTTACTGTGATCACAAGGAAAATGCGTTAATTATGACAACTCTACAACTTATGCTGTACGTTAATATCACACAAAACAAAACACTAGGGTATTTCTTTCAATAGTTATCACAAGTTCTAACAAGGAAACATTTAATTGCATTTAAAAGAGGATTTAATCTAACAAAAAATGAGGAATATTAGATTCAAATATATGCTCTACAGAATCAGCCATATTGTCAAATAAGAAAGTAAAAAAGTCTGCGTTATAATAATGAGTAAGAATAGCGTCGTTCTCTTTAGGTCACAGTAAAAAGTACAGGTCGGAATGCTGTCTGCACTCCATTTGCCGAAAATCGATGAAACTCTAAAAGCGAAATGTTCTTGTTCCAAATTTTCTATAATAAATTCCATAATATACTCTACCATTATTTGGATACTTCATCTTTGGCGTGGTCCACTAATTGGTTAAAGGCATGCTTAAAAGATTTTTAATGAGTTCGGCATGGTTACAGATGTTTTGTACCTAATTAGTTTGCTGGTAGACGACCAANTAATTTCTACCCCCTTTGCGAGGAAACTTCCCCAAAACTATTCCCTAGTGACCTATGACCTAGTAAAACTACTTCCCAATTAGCTTTGAAACCATATTAGTTTTCTATGGTCAAATATATTCTGCCGTAATTGCTTAGATTGTATAGATAGTTGAGACTTAACTAAAGAACGTTATAGGACTATAAAGTCTTTTTCTGTTGATATGACTTAATTAGTTTATGTCAGAATACCTTCGGGATTATTGACATGCGTAATCCATGTTCAGTATACTTTAAGGAAAAAGCGTCATTGGGGCAAAAATCATGTCTATCGTAGTGAACCACGTCACTAAATCATCAATGCTATAGTTGATAACACGTTCAAATTAATAGTTTTCTGTCCCAAGGCATCAATTAAATACTTTTGCTAAATAAGGAACTCGATGATCTGACAGATTTCACTCTACTTGCTTGCAGTAGTATTTCTTTTATGAATATTTCCAAAACAATTCACTGTATATTGATCTTTTATCTTTATTTCCTTTCTTGATTTAAAACCGCAGGTTATTTATGTGTAAAGTGTTTGTATTCGCTTACCAAACAATAAGCAGTAATTTTATGAAATATCAATTGCTATCATAGATTGTTTACTTTGTAAGCGTTTGATTTCAGATCTGGAAGCAGATCCAGAGTTCTAAAGACCGACGTCACAGCTATGTGTGGAAGAAGGATCAGTTTGACGCCGTAGATCCCACAGATACTGATTATCTCCTAGGTATGCTTTCATAAACCGTATCATCGATAAGGGTTGACGATGAGATGTTTTATTTCAATATTGAAATATATACTGATGAATTGTATAACAATGTTCTTTAAACAATACAGCACACAGTAAAACAACAGAGCATTTAAGGTTTAAGACTCCACCTGTAAATCATACTGACATGTTCTCTTTGTTTCCCTTACAATTTAGGTCTATTCGACACAAGTCATATTCCTTACGAAAACGACAGGGATAAGTCTGGAGAAGGTGATCCATCCCTGGCAGAAATGACTAGCAAAGCCATCCATATACTGCAGAAAAATAAACAGGGTTATTTTCTTATGGTAGAAGGTGAGTTAGATTTAGAACACAAAAAGTCATCATTAAATGTCCTCTTGGAAACGAAGCTTACGTAACAAAGCAAACAATCATACCAGTTACTCTTTATTTGGAAAATTAAATTATCTTTGTCCTAATCGTTGTATGACCAATGGTTTCATTTTCTTTTGTAATTTTTCAATATATATACAACATGCTATCGCCGTTTACATGTTTACAGGCGCTCGCATTGACCACGCCCATCATGACAATGAAGCTAAACGTGCTCTGACAGAGACGTTGATGTTTGAGGAAGCAGTGAGCGAGGCTGTACGTCTGACCTCTGAAGAAGATACCCTAATTATCGTCACGGCCGACCACTCCCATCCATTCAACATCGCCGGATACTCATATAGGGGCAATGACATTCTCGGTATATAAAACATATAGGGATAATGACATCCGTATGGTATAATACTTAAATTGGCAATGATTTCCTCGGTATATAATACATATAGGGATAATTACATCCGTATGGTATAATACTTTAATTGGCAATGATTTCCTCGGTATATAATACATATAGGGATAATGACATCCGTATGGTATAATACTTAAATTGGCAATGATTTCCTCGGTATATAATACATATGGGGATAATGACATCCGTATGGTATAATACTTAAATTGGCAATGATTTCCTCGGTATATAATACATATAGGGATAATGACATCCGTATGGTATAATCTTTAAATTGGCAATGATTTCCTCTGCATATAATACATATAGGGATAATGACATCCGTATGGTATAATACTTAAATTGGTAATGATTTCCTCGGTATATAATACTTATATATGGATAATGACATCCGTATGGTATGAAACCTTAATTGCCAATGATTTCCTCGGTATATAATACATATATGGATAATGACATCCCTATGGTATAATACTTAGTTTGGCAATGATTACCTCGGTATATAATACATATAGGGATAATAATATCCGTATGGTATGATACTTAAATTGGCAATGATTTCCTCGGTGTATAATACACATATGGATAATGACATCCGAATGGTATATACTTAAATTGGCAAGGATTTCCTCGGTATATAATACATATAGGGATAATGACATCCGTATGGTATAACACTTAAATTGGCAATGATTTCCTCGGTGTATAATACATAAATGGATAATGACATCCGTATGGTATACAACTTAAATAGTTAGTTAACGATACATTCTATATTTCATTCTTGATTCATGTTATGTTGCTGTATATTTTTAATAATATGTCATACGGATTAAGCTTCTGTTCAAAACATTAAAAAAGCATTGAAGTATTCAAATACAACCTATAGCAACACTTTATAACGACTTGCTGCTTTTTAAGTTGTGTTCTAATGCTAGTACAAACAATATAACATGATCATTAATGATATGACGAACTGTTCTGTAGGTATAACAATACCGTACTGGGACGAACCTCCTCTTGATGGTCTCCCCTACACCACAGTTGTGTACGGCAACGGCCCAGGACGGCGGCCGTTTCAGGACAGGACCAACTATACAGGGATCGACACCAGTAAGTCTGTCTACATCACTATTAGTAATTGGTACTTACTGGATCCTTCGTTATAGTCTACAACACCTACGTCTGACCAGGCCATTCATAACAGTTTACACGACCCTTTCTGACTATGTCCTTCGTATCTATTCACATTATCTAATCAAGGTCACCCGTAACAGGAAAGGTCCTACTCCTGCCACCCCAGAAGAACCTTATGAGAAACTTATCATCCAATAATTTTCCGCTGGTACAATGCAAATATTTAACAATGTTAAACATTGAAAAAGACTCCATTTCAAAGGAAAGAACATTTCTCCGATTAAATAGATGATTTGAGATTGTCACTACATAACTAATTCAAATAGCTATTGTTTATAAAAAAATAAAAATAAATTATTCCAAACAAAGTGTGATACAGTTTATGCAAGAGGTAGTATCACTTAAATGTAGACTTTTAGAAATTTGATTGAACATTTTGAACACCTTCAAAAATTGATGATGCTTTCTCTTCGAATAACATGAAATACAAGAATTATTGGTAGTTTATTGATCCTCCAGAAAAGGAACTTAAATGCTTCAAACCCTCTTCATATCTTTAACATTTACTTAACTTTAGATTTGCCTACACTATGACAAAATTGGTCACTTTGCTATCAACATATATGTCGAACGAGACGAGTGTCATTTATCGGTGGTTTATTTCCTTTCTTTAGTAGTACTATACTGTTCCCGACTCTCCTGTTGATGGAGTTTACCCGTCACAGTTGATTCACTATCCTTTACCTATTTTTAAGTATCAGGATTTTCCTAACAGATGCGTTTTGTTGAAACATAAACTACTTAGACAGCGTTTTCGACCAGAGAAACTAATTAATTGTATGGTTGAGATCAAGTCATCACATCATGCCCAAAAATTAGCAACCCCTTAAATAATAATAGGCCTAGGCCTATTCAATGCTACCTATACCACAAGCAACCAACAAACTCGGATTCGGCGGGAAACATTATTAAAAGTGCCATATGTGATGCAGGAACTTTTGCCCTCCAGAGCTCTTGATTTGTCTCCGATATTTGATGGGTTTTAACACTTTCTTATCTTTTGTTGAACTGTCACGTAAGTCCTTGTTATGACCTTTTAATCAAATTTGAGTAGGTTTTGGCCTCATGTATTGTCGATGTGATGCGTTATTTTTTTTATTTTCATGATTTATAGCTGAAGACAATTTCAAACAAGAATCTGCTGTGCCTACCGCATACGAGACCCATTCTGCAGAAGATGTGGGGATATATGCACGTGGTCCTATGGCGCATTTACTGCATGGCGTCCAGGAACAACATTACATAGCTCACGTGATGCAGTATGCCGCGTGTGTCGGTGATTTCAAAGACGACTGTGAGCGCCCGGATGATCGCAATTCCAACGGAGGTTACACACTGTCTGTAAATATGGTGTTGTTCATTACGATCTGTATGATTGAGCTACTCGTGATATAACTGTATATTTCGTGACATACGATGAAATGTGGGTTGTATGTATATTGTTGTATTTGTTTGGTCCTCTATGATATCGTTATTTAAAATAATGCTAACCCCATCCAAATATAGTGTTAATGATAAGCGAAAAATCATTAAAACTAACGCTAGTTTCTATATGCTATATTTCTGTCCATGATACAAATCGCGGGTCACTTCCGGGGTCATACCGGTTGTTCTTGTTCATTCAAATGTGCTGTAATGTGCTCAACTCTAAGCAGAAAAACCAAAGTGAACATACATTGATCATATAGCCATTTTGGCCATTAAACCTAAGCAATGATAAAAGTAAAAAGGATGAAAATGTCTTAAGTGTAGCTAAACAAGTAAAAATAGTAGTCTATCGTACAATAACTTAATCATGCGTGTAAAAACCTTTTCATTGGCCTAAAAAGTTATGTTATCAACCCATAACGTAAAAAATGACGTCGCCGTTTGTAACGTTGCTTTTGATTTGCTGATACAACGGCGTTATAATTTCTAAGAGAAAAGAGTCCATCAATAAAAGTTGATTTCCAAAGGGATTGTGTATAGTAGATTAAATTATAAGGATTAACATGAATAATTTTTTTTATTTTATGGAGCTATAACACAAAATAACATAACCAAAACTTACACTAGATGGCACTAGAATTCCTGTTGTTGAACAGACAAATTTCTCGGCCTCATTTTTGATTCGAAACTCACTTTCATACCACATATAAAGTATCTGAGGATAAGTGTTCCAAGGCGTTAAACATTATACGAGTCCTTTCTCATACTGTTTGGGGAGCGGACCGTGAAATGCTTCTGCAGATCACTTATTCGAACAAAACTAGATTATGGTTATATTGTATGCGGGTCGGCGCGGAGTTCTTACCTGCAGATGCTAGACCCAATCCATAACCAAGGGCTACGTCTATCCATTGTAGCGTAGCCCTTAGAGCTTTTCGAACAACACCTGTAAAAAGCCTGGACGTGGAAGCGAATGAACCATCCCTTAATGACAGAAGGGAAAACAATTACAGTTTGCAGCTCAATTAAAATCAAACCCTAAAAAGTCTGCTTTCGACCAAGTATTCAACCCAAAATACCAAAACATTTTTTACGCAAAACCCAAAACTTCTGCTAACATTTGGGGTCCGAATTTCAAATTTCCTGCATGAACTCAACATAAAGTTGACTGACATAGCAGCTGAATTTAACATATCTGATGTGGACCATTCAAACACCTGATTTTAACTTTACATTACATGAGCAAGGGAAATCAAGTGTTATGCCCGAAGAACACAAATCCTCCTTTCGGGAATGCATTTCGAATTACCCTTCTCATACCCAACTTTACACCGATGGTCCCAAAGAAGGTAACGAAGTGGCAGCAGCCTGCTGTACTGCTAATTCTTGCACTTCAGTTCGACTACCAGACGGCGCCTCCATATCTTCTGCCGAAGCATGCGCCATTGATTTGACCCTCGACCATATCGATGAACACCGCATTAAAAAGGCAATCATTTGTTTAGACTCTCTATCTGTCATACAGAGTTTACAGTTACGAGATCCTTAAAACACACTCGTACAAAACCTTGTTCTTCGAATATCTCGTATCTTAAAAAAGTCTAAAATAACTTTACTATGGATTCCGAGCGATGTCGGAATTAAAGGCAACGAATTTGTTGAAAATAAGGCAAAGAATGCATTGAATCTCCAACAAACAAATATCAAACTACTATATACAGATTTTAAACCAATTATTCGTACAGCCATTCAAAATTATTGGCAGCAACAAACTTTTTAAAGTACAACCGATACTTAAACATCTATTCCAAGCCGGAAAGATCGCAGAGAGGGAGTTGTCCTCGCTCGGCTCCGTACTGGGCACACATATCCTACTCATTCGTACCTTTTAAAACCAGAAAATCCACCTTCATGCCACGCATGTGACACTCCATTTATAGTGCAACATTTTTTAATAGAATGTTCCGATTTTAAACACATTTGCGATAACTACTTTCGAGTCACGGATATGAAAACTCTTTTCAGTTCCGTGGACTCGAAGGCATTATTTAACTATTTAAAAGACATTGATCTATTCTATAGACTCTGATGTCTTTTAACCCGCCTTACCCTTTTTGACGTTATATATATCACATAGTCCATATCATCTATTCTTATCTCTTTTATTTTTTACTCCCTTTTTATTTTAATTATTTACACATACAATGCGAATGATTCTAAAATGAACCTTTTTACCTGATTTTATCTTGCCTACTCACATGTTTGTTAAAAAAAAATCAAAAAAAATCACCATGACCCTAAGTGACCACAGCCGTCGATGGGCCGTTAAACATAAACAAACAAACAAACAAACAAACATAAAAAGTATATTCGAGTAAATCCTTAAATAGTACCTAGAATGTAGCTGCTGAAATCTTAACACAATTATTAACAGCCAAAAGGCCAATTCGTCCATTAAGGGCTCAATGTAAAACATTGTACTTCCTCAAAATTCCAGGGGCTAACGTCTCCTACGTTTTCTGAACCCCTATAATATTTCTTGACAAAATGGAAGCCACAAGATTTGGAAATTGATTGGTTTCAGATATCTACTTCAAAGCTGGTTAATTTTATCGTTATGCTGCTACGTAATTATTTTGATGTACATAAAAATCAAACTAATCTATATTTTTCAGCCACATATTGCGCACAAAAAGCTTTCGATTTCGTCATGACATATTCAAGGGGAACAGAACACTTTTATGTAAGAGAATGTAGCCACGTATTCATATCAAATGTTTTCCAAAACATATATTAGAGGCACCCACCTTGTGATGTGAATAATCACTTGTAATTTGAGGTATGGAAACACCCATTGAAACATTGAGAAGCTTTATCTACTGATTATCCTCCACATCTAAGTAACAATGACCTCCCCCCCCCCCCTTAAATGAAAGATAACTTTTTGGGCTTTCATGCAGGTTCACGAAACTATTTCATCTATTAACGAAGAAGAGTTCCACGTCAAACTATGTCACGGAAACTAAAACTTTCTATCCACTGATAAAGGAAATGATTTCCAGGCCATACTTTCCTGGCTTGTTTATATTGCGGTGTACATGCGCTTTGTCACGATGTTTAAATTATCTATTAATAGAATATCGATGTCCCCTAGTGATCTTACTCCTCGTATCATTCAATTCATGCATCACTGCACCTCAATAGGATACCCATTATCACCAGTGAATGCTGATGTTTTCATGTAAATCGTGGGAAGTACATCCCGAGGTCATGAAGTCATGTTTTATATTAGATTATATACGTTTGTGACCTTTATCAATACAACGTCAGTATGGACAAGGTTGTAACTCTTGGGGATATCACCAACGAGACAGTCTTCACACACCGCACAAACAACAGAACTAAGACGGAGATGTTCGACAATAATGACCAATTAGAGTAGGGCATCCATTTATGCGTAAACACACCTCTCAATTACCGTACACAATTACATGATCAATATAATGTATAAGCTTTACATGTTTAAGAATATCTACTTGCTTGTTATTTAGTGTTTGTTTCTGTATAATCCTTGCTAACAAATTGAAATAAAATGAGATTCTTATCTTTTATCTTTGCTTTTCTTTTTCAATTGTTGCGCAACCTGATATAAACATATTTGTCTTTCAATACCTTTATACTGTTTTTTTTTTTTTGTATATTACCTATCCTTTTACTGAGTGGTCTTTAGGAGGTTCTGTTCTGATGCAATACTAGGCCTGCTGTACAGTCCAGAACCTTCCGACTAATATTGGCTCCTGTACACTTGGGAATGTAACGGCTTTTCGTAGCACTACAGCTACAAATAAGATTCGCGGTCATCTTTATCATGCTTTAAATTTTTCATTCTTAATGTTTATCATTTCAATGACCACTCAAATCAATTTCTCTTGATTGTAACATACCTTTATGTTGATGATACCACTGATGGTGCCTATTGCCACTTAATATCTTTAGAAGTCCTTTTGATAGATTAGATAGGAAGCCATATACAAAAACAGTGCAAGTAGCGTAGGCCAAGTGAGCTTATGCGATGGTGCGTCGTCCGTCGCCCGTCGTCAACGGTTTACTTAAACAGCTTCTTTTGAATAACCAAGAGGCCCAGGCTACCAAGTGTGTTCAAATGAATGACCTTTGCCCATTATCAAGGTCACGGGGTCAAATATGGTAAAATCTTTAAACAGCTTCTTCTGAATAACCAGAAGGCCCAGGGTGATGATATTTGGCCAGTAGCATGCTTGGATAAAGGGCTACCAAGTTTGTTTAAATGAATAACTTTCACTCATATTCAAGGTCACAGGGGTCAACTATCTTAAAAACCTTTAATCGACTTCTTTTGTATAACCAAAAGGTCCAGGATGATGATATTTGGCCAATAGGATGTTGGCATGAAAGGCTGCGAAGTTTGTTCAAATTAATAACGTTTGCCCATATTCAAGGTCACAGGGGTCAAATATGTTGAAATCTTTAAACGACTTCTTCAGAATTGACCTTGACACACTTTCATGGTCACATCTGGTTCCTAGTGCATACATCTTTAAAAGTCAACTTCTCAATAAACAAAAGCCATAAGGTGGTGATATTTGGCAGGTTGCAGTCTGGTAGGAAGGGCTATGACGTTTGTTTAACTTTAAATGTCCATGTTTGACTTTCAAGGTCACAGGGATAAAATGTGTTGAAATCTTGAAACGACTTCTTCTGAATTGACCTTGTTACACTTTCATGGTCACATCTGGTTCATAGTGCATAAATCTTTAAAAGTCAACTTCTCAATAAACAAAAGCCATAAGGTGGTGATATTTGGCAAGTTGCAGTCTGGTAGGAAGGGCTATGACGTTTGTTAGTCCACTTTTAAGGTTACAATTGTGAGATTAATACCAGGTGAACGATGCAGGCCCATTGGGCCACTTGTATTAAATGTGTTACCATGACACTGTTATGTATAGGCTACGTCAACACCCAGACCCCCTAGGATTACAATAAAAGTGTGTGCGATCATACATGCTTTACCTGAGATACACCCTCCAACGTGTACATGTGTGACAAAGTAAACTGGTTAATACAGAACACCGACGACAAATGTTTAACCCTTAACACTGCTCTACATACACCTCGCGTCTAGATGTAGAATATCATATTAGCAGCTTACACTGACGGGGCGAGGATGACTTTATTAAGGACCACATGCCTCCTGTTGACAATTGTAGCCTGTTTACATGGACTCCCTAATAGTAAGTGGTTTTATTTTATAAATACATATAAATAATTCCGAATATGTTTTGTTCAAGGATTGATATTATTTTTAAACTTTATAGCGATTCAGGCATCCTTAATGTGTCTGGTTGTATTGACTCTATATACATGGTTACAATTGTATAACATTTCCCGTTTGATTTTCTATATCGACTGACATGTTTTCCATGTGAGAATTTAACGTCACCAGGTTGTTCAACTCTGCATCAGTCATCGAGGTGGTCGTAACTTTGTAGATGGAATATAGTTTTGGTTCGGTTATATAAAACCCTATATATAGCCCAAAGTTGTACATTTGAAACTTTATTAAGTGTTTTATAGACATCTTTTCCTTTTCATCGTATTTCAACAAACATGTACGTTTCGGTACACTTCAGACATGTTGTTTATCATTCTTTCTTTAAGTACCTCTGATGAGTACACATTGGACGAGATGACGTTATGTTATGGTAAATGTTCACTTTTTTGGCTTTCTCAATCGACCTACTTAACTTCATAACTTTGTATGTCAAATTAATATTTTTTATTTGATGTTCACTGAAGCAGAAAATATAGGTCGTTAGCCTAGATCTAGATTATGGTTCACGACATCTTCATGGTTTTGGTCTATATCGCCTATAGACGGGAGTTTTGAACACATGAGTTATACTAACATTTATTTGTTGTCGTGTAGATGATTAATTTACTGTTTTTTCTGAGGGTTTAATGGTCTAAGTCAGCCTTTTCTCTTACCTCCGTTTTCCGTTCGCTGGTTTCTCCTGCGCAACTTCCTAAATCTAAAATATAGGTTAGATTTTTGTCAGAATCATGTAAACAGGTTGGGTGAAAAAGTAGAAATAATGGCCCTATCATATTTTGATAACGTCACTACATGTCCTTGCCTGTTGTAAATATGTCGATAATCCAGTCAATGTTAGGCGTGAGCACTATTGAACTACCCATTACCTTACTGACGCTTGTAATCAGTCACAAGTAATACAATGGTGACACCCAATCGTAAGCAATATACATGTATTACATAAACGTATCAATCCAAAGTCGACATCTGATCAGTTAGACGGGGGAGAGGATGGGGCGTGGGTGGGGCGTGGGTGGGGGATTGAGGGGGAGGGTCTATGAATAAATATACTTAACTAGTTACAAAATGTAGATGAAAGCCCGATAAAGCAAACAGCTTGCAGACGGTAAAAAATGGAATACAGAAATATAAAAAATCCCACAAACATTTAACCTATTCATATGAATGTTTATTCATTATGATGTTTCCTTTTACATCAATTTAGAGATTCTATCGCAATCATCTTCCAGAACGTGCCATTGAAAATACCAAAGGCAATTATCTTCACCTTAATAATATATTATATAACAAACGTGATAGCCGGCATTCCTTGCTCTCTGATTCGCAACAAACAAAACTAGAAGTCTCGTGAAGTTTATATGTCACAGTTGACTCGAGAGCCATTGTCTTTATCTCTGTTTTCACGTTTTCAACAGGAAGCACAGACTGGAATAAAATGGCAAGAGACAGTTTAGATGAAGCTCTGAAGTTGAAACAGATCAATAAAGTTGCTAAAAATGTTATACTGTTTATTGGCGATGGACTTGGCCTTTCAACGGTAACGGCTTCTAGGATCCTCAAAGGTCAAAAGATGGGTAATCCTGGAGAGGAAACAGTCCTTGAGTTCGAGAAATTTCCTTATGTAGCTCTCTCTAAGGTAATTGGTGTTGTGTATGTGTCATTACTGTGTACTAATATAGCCCATATTGTTCTTAAAGTAATATTTAAATGTTGCGTGATAGATTTTATAGATAAACCAAGCCTAGCCACTAAAGTGGAAGGAATACGCTGCAGAACATGGGCATCCAATGTAATCACGATTAAAACTATTTTATGAAGGAGAATATTGCAATACTGAAACTCGTTTTGGTCACCCATACCTTTGAAACAGGAGACCTATATATTTTCATCCGCCAGATTTAACGTTTCAAAGACCCACCCCGATCAAACAATATATATATATATGTATAGACATTTAAAAATATGTATAATATGCATGGCTTATGTAATAAATTACAGAGACTCCATTTCGTGGCTACAATTACAACTCCAGGCTTTATGTAAGCGGTTCTGTGTGATACGAAATTGTGTTTTTTTTGTGTTTTTTTTGAAATAATACTTATATAGATACATGACATCCATTTCAAGGACGATGTTACTATTGTATACGCCATACATGTGCATTGCCCTGTTTTATGTTACAGGTGATTTGGTGAGGCAACTAGCATTGCATATTTTGAAATTGCACTAATGCGTGGGGTATTAATTTCAGTTTGTCCTGCTGTTTGTCTGTCACGCTTTAATTCTATCACGATAACTTTCCTAAATATCAACCAATTTTGATGAAGAGATGTATTGTCCAGTTAATCAAGTTTAATGGAATGCCAACTTAACCCTTGGATACTCATGTATATCTACAGCCAATACCGAAATCTGCTTAGCTGGTGTTTTTATTCGAAATAAAGGAGTAAATGTGTTCGATATTTATAAATAATTGGGCACTGGATTTATGTTAAGATATTTTTTTTTCTTTTCTTTTTTTAAAACTTTTTAGCGCATGTGCTACACGTTAGCTGAAATATTATAATGCAACCTATTACATGCAACATAGATTAAACAAAGTGAAGTAATTCCACGAATGTGTTGTCCTTGTTTGTCAGGTGTACGGCTCTGATAAGATGGTGCCGGACTCGGCAGCCACAGCCAGCGCCCTGATGTGTGGGGAGAAAACAAACTGGTACCTTGTCGGAACCCGGGATCCGGTATCCATCTCCGACTGTGTCGCCTCTAAAGCTGAGAACATGAAAATGACGTGCATTCTCGACCATTTTATAGCTGACGGTAATTGATCAGTTTATAGTTATTGAACTAAAGGAAACAATTTTTTAATTGCAATGATAATTAGTAAAATATATATGATTTAATTTAAAGGGGGGAAACTACCATAAAAATTAAACATACAAAATGCATGAATGATGATATTAAAATGTCATTTTGATTACACATGCAGGTCGGTCTACAGGGGTAGTGACATCTGCCCGTGTGACTCACGCCACGCCTGCTTCTGCTTATGCACATACACCCAACAGAGATTGGGAGGGGGACGTCCAAACAGTCGGTATCCCCGGGGACTGTAAGGATATCGCCTACCAACTCATATACGACAACAACAACATCAACGTAAGTAGTTTAACTACCTCAAACTGCGACATATTGGAATAAGTGATTACACTTATGTTTAATCAGAAAAACGGTAACAAGATGCCGGATGATTGAATCACTAATTGTATTTATGTTTAACTAGAATTTACGGTTTTATGTAAATTTTAAACCGCAGGAAAACCTTAACATTTTATCCGAAATTCTCAACGCTGCTCAACTTATCTGAATTTAGGAAGGTTTATTTCACATCATTGTGTTAATTGGTATCATGTATTCTGATGCGCTAAGGGTATGTCGATTGCTCCTTTCTTAATTGGATCAGATGTCTAAAAACAACATTTCCTTTTATTCAGAACACATGATACATCGGCTATACAGATCCTGCTCCCGTTAAACGTTAGCCACTAGAATAGTGTACCTGGAAATAAATGGAATAGTTTCAAGCTAGGTCAGACGCGTTCAATGTTTTATAAACCTGAAGCTGTAAGACGACCGACAGTCTAACATATCAAACTTTAACACATTGTCAATAAGAAGCAGAAAATAAGTGGATCAGAAGCCATCACGTATATGACGGTTGCACAGTAATTTAAAGCCGTGTTTATGGCGATGTAACTAAACGGACAAAAGACTTGCATAAAATGCACGCAGTTTGCTGTATAGATATCACGGAAAGAGATCTGTGGTTTGGCTTGTTTCCCAGACAGAAATACTAGCTTGACATCCTTCTATGTCTTTGTGATGAAACATTCTATTGCAATGCCTTTTCCCCCCAATTTTTAACAATAACATTTCTGAAGGATATGTTCAAACTATGGCCTACTTTATAAATTCATTGTTCAATAACAATGCCATATTATCATTAGCAAATCTTCTACTTATTTGTGTGATAACGTAAAGCTTGGAAAGGCAATACATAAAACTGTACAATAGTGTTTCTTTATCGTATGTTTATTGAATAATGAAGAAAATCTGCTCATATGTTGTGTGTGTTCTTGCGATTTTCGTGAGTGACATTTTGTAAGCAGTTTAATAAACTACTTTCGGTATTAAAAAAGGGATCGGTTAAAATAAGTCTTGTATAATTTAGACTGGGAGTATTGTTGAGTTTTCTTTGTTTGTCTTGTATTTCAATATTTTTAGCATGTATTTAAAACAACCTTCATTCAAACGTTTTCACAACATTGTGTCTGGAAGTATTTATCGATTCCCAAATATTAAAGTATTTGGTTATGTGGATTGTTTTTATTTCTATCTCGTTGTTACTTTTAAAGAAGATATCATTCGGTTTATATCATAAAGACAATCGAGCACACTAAACTAGAATATCTGTTATATCCAGTGTTGTAACATTAGAATATCTGTTATATCCAGTGTTGTAACATTAGAATATCTGTCATGTCCAGTGTTGTAAGAATAGAATATCTGTTATATCCAGTGTTGTAACAATAGAACATCTGTTATATCCAGTGTTGTAACATTAGAATATCTGTTATATCCAGTGTTGTAACATTAGAATATCTGGTATATCCAGTGTTGTAACAATAGAATATCTGTTAAATCCAGTGTTGTAACAATAGAATATCTGTTATATCCAATGTTGTAACAATAGAATATCTGTTATATCCAATGTTGTAACAATAGAATATCTGTTATATCCAATGTTGTAACAATAGAATATCTGTTATATCCAGTGTTTTAACATTAGAATATCTGGTATATCCAGTGTTGTAACAATAGAATATCTGTTATATCCAATGTTGTAACAATAGAATATCTGTTATATCCAATGTTGTAACAATAGAATATCTGTTATATCCAATGTTGTAACAATAGAATATCTGTTATATCCAGTGTTTTAACATTAGAATATCTGGTATATCCAGTGTTGTAACATTAGAATATCTGTTAAATCCAGTGTTGTAACAATGGAATATCTGTTATATCCAGTATTGTAACATTAGAATATCTGTTATATCCAGTGTTCTAACAATAGAATATCTGTTATATCCAGTGTTTTAACATTAGAATATCTGGTATATCCAGTGTTGTAACATTAGAATATCTGGTATATCCAGTGTTGTAACATTAGAATATCTGTTATATCCAGGGTTGTAACATTAGAATATCTGTCATGTCCAGTGTTGTAAGAATAGAATACCTGTTATATCCAGTGTTGTAACAATAGAATATATGTTATATCCAGTGTTGTAACATTAGAATATCTTTTATATCCAGTGTTGTAACAGTAGAATATCTGTTATATCCAGTATTGTAACATTAGAATATCTGTTATATCCAGTGTTGTAACAATAGAATATCTGTCATGTCCAGTGTTGTAATATTGTTATCACACATTGCTCACATTGTTATACACCATATTTATTTGACATAAATGAAATATGGTTTACGAACATAATCTACTTGTTAAGTTGGCCTGGGTGGAAGCACAAAGAAGGATTGTTTTGTAGGAGGAAGCCAGAAGAGCCGCAGAAAATCCATGTTGTCAGGTGGATGACTCGATATATTGTACAAATCCTCATGTCCGATCGGGCCATCATCACAAGCCGTCTTAGTATAAAGCAATCTCGTTATTCACTGCTCTACCTGACCATCATATGTACTTCAACAAGATATTAGCATACACTACATACATGGAGGCACGTCCTTAAATGACCTTAGCTGTTGATAGGACGTTAAACAAAATTAAACCAAACCAAACCAATTTTACATCATCAATTATTGAGTACACCTTGACCTTTCACATTCATGTAGGTGCTACTAATCATCTAGTCACGTTTACAACGGTATAATTGGCCTTTTGATTAGGTAACTCTCAATTATTTATTGTTCGGTTTCTGTTTTTGTCTGTAGTTTTTAGTTACGTGGTTTTTTTTCTGAAACTGTGTAACACATACAAAGTGAGCCTTTAAAACTAGCTATTGACTCTTAATATGTGCCGCAGTTTGTTCAATTAATAAAACCTGAAATCAAATTACTTAATCTGTTTTTAATCTTACCTTCAGCGAAAGTGCTAGTGCAGCGTTATTCGAGAATGAAATACTACGCCAGCTTACTTCCCTCAGTATAGTGTACATATTGCATATTGTTTAAAAAAATGCTAATCTACATTTATATGATTTGATTTTTGGATAAGGATAGCGTGTATTCCTGCTCACAACCTGTCGGTATATGTTTATGTATTTGTTCATTAAAGGTCCTAGATGACGTAGACTTGTTATATATACATGTGATATAGGTTGTACTTGGCGGAGGACGTCGGTCATTCTTACCTAATACAACGGTGGATCCAGAGACAGGCACCGTCGACAAGCGACAGCGTCAGGACGGGCATGATCTTATACAGGTGAGAGAGTATAGACTGATTAAATATAACAGAAGGCTAAGTAATTATCTCATCCTAATCACAAATCAACAATACATAGCAAGAGTGAGGAATACATGATTAAACATTGTCAGGTGGAGCGTATTTTACCCCACCTCTTTATTTATGTTTATTTAAATGATTTCGTCTTTAAAGCCATTTTCTTCCCCTTTTGATCGATGTATTACTTCGTAAAGCGGTAGAATTTGATACAAGTTCAGATTGATTATGAGTATGGTGTTACAGAAAATATAATATGCAAATCAGAATACTTTTATATATGTTTTAAAAGCAACATCATACCTGTCTTTAATAAAGGTCACAGATAGCACTCCTGTAACATTGAACTTTTTGTTATACCATAAGAACGTATAAACTGTGTATGTTTAGATATGGAAAGACATACAGCGTACCAAGGGCCGAAAGTATGACTACGTCTGGAACAAAGGTCAATTTGATAACATCAACCCCTCGGACGTTGACTACCTACTAGGTAATATATACGTAGTTTACGCTTGGCTGCTTTACACAAAAACAACATACACTAAAGAAGGTTGATATTTTAATTTGGAGAAAATGGTTTATATATGCTTTCGTTCTTTTCCTTTTCCTTGAACCTTGCCATGGTCACTTAAGGACCTTACACACTCACAGAATCATATCTCAGAGTTGTTTTAATGCAGACGGTCACACAAATTTACATTGCTGTAATACTAACATTTTAACTGGGTTGCACCTTTCAAATCGGAAATAGAACGGAGCTGACAATGAGTCAATTTAAATTACAACAAATCAATTTTCATTCAAAACTATAATGTTTTAAATTGCAAATCATTGACAGTATACACGCATTCTGTAATTTATACCTGTTTATTTCAGGGTTGTTTGGATCTAGCCATATGCAGTACGTACTAGATCGCGATCCCTCAGATGCTGGTGAACCAACCCTGGCAGAACTTACAGAAAAAGCAATTAACATACTGAAGAAAAACACTAAAGGGTACTTCCTGATGGTAGAAGGTACGCTAATAACTATGACGTTATTATACATACACTGCTATACTTCCTGATGGTAGAAGGTTTGCTTATAACAATGGGATAATTGGATAGATAGGACAACATGAGAAGTGAGAAAGTTTCGATACTTCAATGTGATGTCGTAATTCTGCGCTGGAAGCAACTAAAAGGTATGCTAGTTCAGGCAGCAGATATTAATACAACAATGCCATATTTCATTTTAACATTAGCCTGAAATATATATAAATGTAACTTTTCATAAAACGTTGTTAACAGGTGCCCGTATAGACCACGCCCACCATGACACCTTGGCGAGATACGCTTTAGAGGAATCGCTGGCCCTGGAGGCGGCACTCAAACAGGCAGCGGATATGACATCTGAAGAGGACACCCTTATTATCTTCACAGCTGACCATTCCCACGTGTTTAACATCGGGGGCTACACACAGAGAGGTGATCCTATCTTCGGTAAGTCTCTCTCATGGATACACAAAAATATGGACTCCAGTGTGACAGCGTATCCGTCTCTCATGGAGGTGACAAATGTATGTGGTGTCATATAAAGTGTGCTTCTCTCCCTTGGTAATTATTTTCGTGATGAGTGTACTAGGCACGGTATTCTTGTGGCAGGATGCCGGGCTCGTTACCGAATGGTTGCGGATTCGAGTAACACCACGGCACTGTGTTGTATCCTTGAACAAGATACTTTACTCCGCTTGTTTCAATCTACTCAGCTGTAATTGAGTACATGGTTGGGCAGCGCTGGAATTGTTCAATGCTAGCTGCGATCGCCGAAATGGCAGCATCGACTGTATACTCCCCAGGGAGTTGAGACAGATATTGGCTTGCTGCAAAGGCCTTATCGTCTTTGAGACGACATAGGACGTTGTGAAAAAGCGGTATATAAAAACCTCCAATAATCGTAATTATTATTAGTGGCTGCAACACGGCATGACGCAATTGGATAATTGGAGTTTATTAAAAATATGACTTCATATGACCATTAATTGTTTTTGTATGACAAATGTATTACAGTCGAACCTCGTTATCTCGAACTCGTATAACTCGAAGACCCCGTTTAACTCGAAGTATTTCATCGGTCCCGGCCAAAACTCTTCTTAATCTTAGTAATAAAAACTCTGATAATTCGAACTCTGAAAACTCGGATATCCCGAAGTGAAACATAGGTCCCAACAACGAAAATCCTACATAAAAATATCTCCTCCCTCGAAGTTTCTTAAGATTCACAAGTCTATCATATATTCTTTAATTATTTGATACATATTAGACGCAGTGCTACGGTAAACATCGTTCTAAATGAGCAGCTTACGCTCGGTCATAATTACTTCTATTTAACATTATGGCATTTAAATGTGATTGACTGTAAAAACACTTTGTTCAAATAAAGAAACAAACTTCATCAATGTTGATTAACAACAATTAATACTCACTGCGAGCACATAAACAATTTGAATGGCACTTTATTTACACTAAAGCTGCCGACACATTCTAACCGGAAAATGGGTCACAGTGTGCGGTCATGCGTAAATAAGCTCCACAGTAAAAATCACAACCTAGGACTGGTTCGCCGGTTTATGTTTTTACAGGAGCTTGTATGGCACTGATAACTAATTGAGAGATTATAGGAACAATACGATAATTATTGTTGAGTACGTCGTGTTGAGGAGATGTCAAGTGTCATTGGAGTCTATCAATGTGGATATATTTCCTGATTAACTCATACCCATTTTTGTAATGTCGAAATCAACTGAGCAATCCAACGTGTACGCTCCAGTACAGTGATTTGTGTAAAGACTTGGGTACTTTCATTTCCGCATTGATATTTCTATCAGCATAGCACGAGGTCGGAGACAGCATGTGTGTTTATTGTAATATTAATTAATTAATTAATATGATTATGAATAAGTTGTTATTTTATATAATTATCTTTTTGTCATTTATTCGACTGTTTAGATACGTTGATTGTCAGAGAAATCAATGACATATATAGCCTCATATTGTTACCAAGCTTTATGCCAAACATAGGAACTCGCTTAACTCGAATACTCGGATAACTCGAAGTTTCCCAACGATCCCGTCGACTTCGAGGCAACGAGGTTCGACTGTATTTGATTTAAGCTTATGTTTAATAAACATGTTGTGGTTTTCAATCATTTGATGGATCGATTATATATTGTATAGGCATATCTCACCCGCAGTCCGATGAGCCGCCTCTCGATGGTCTCCCATACACTATACTGAACTATGGTAACGGTCCGAATAGAGCCCTCAACGGATCCAGGGTCAATCTCACCGGCGTGGACACAGGTGATCTAGCAAATATTGCACTGTAATACTCGAATCATGATGTTGTCATTTGGATATGATCTCCTACTTTTGATGTTGTACTGTGCACCAGTTTGTTTCGTACATTTTGTTTGTCAAAATTAAAAGCACATTTTTTCAATTATTTTCAACAATCAATGCTCAGTAAATGACCTGTTCCCTCACACCACTTCACAACTTTTACATATAATTTTCTAGAACAAAATAAGGTAATGATCCTGATCGCCACTCTATATATAATCGTTATTTACAGTAATGACATACGTGCACCTCATATCTTCCTCATCATGTTATTAATAAGGATTATATTCACAATGCTTATGTTAAAATTTAGAACGTGTTTATTTAATGTCACGCAGGTGCAAGACACTACATTCCTGAGAGTGCTATACCCCTGGCCTACGAGACCCATTCTGCAGAAGATGTTGGGATATATGCTCGTGGTCCTATGGCACACCTTTTGCACGGCGTCAAGGAGCAGCATTACGTTGCGCACATGATGCAGTACGCAGCGTGCGTCGGCGACTTCAGAAACTGTGTTCGTGACGATGTGAATAACGGACGACAACTCATGCCAAGTCTCTGGGTTATCTTCTTTACGATGTGTTTGAAATATCTAACCAACGTTTGATGATAATTTCTGTCGGGAGATATATCTTATATAGTCCCAATATAGCGCGTGTATTAAACACGAAATTAATTCCATTTACGTGTCACCATATCAAAGGGTTTAACAAAAATATATGATTAGTTTTAGAATCCCTTTTCCACTGCACTCTATTTATCGTATATACGGTAACCTCCCTTTAGTTTCGGTTTTGGATATCACTGTAGCACGGTTGGGCAAGAGCACTTCCGTTGACCAGTTAGCCCAGTCGGTTTAACCGATAATGCAATAAAATGAGGTCAAGGATTCGAATTTTGATCTGCGTTTTAACAATCATAAAAGTGTTGTCAATTACTATGTTTATTGTATCTCTGTTATTTTTCATGAAAGTGCCGAAAGGTATGGTTTTCTATTAGGAAACGAATTATCAAAGCTAAAATATTAACGGCAAAATCGGTTAACAATGCATATTATGGGTTTTTGACAATAGTACAGTGCTCCTTAAATTATTCATATCGATTTCATAAATGTATGAATGAAGTGTAATCGAAACATACTAATATTTACACGTTATTCATTGATGTTATTTTAGAGAAACACATGTTTCTTAAAACACGTTGTATATGTATTGTGCATCATAAACGGACCTGAAAATTTGACTTGCAAAACTCAGTGACGTCCCTCAGCTCCTATCAAACTACAATGAAGTTCAAATGTCAGAGCATCTTCTACATGTACCACTATAGGGTACTCGTGAAAACCTGCCAAGTCATCTGATCACTCATTTAGATCTCAATGTACTGTTTTGTACTGAAGATTAATATTGTTAATCCACCAAAGTACGTAGACCACTTTCAGGTGTTTTACCATTAAGTAGTAAGGTGTTTCACCAATAAGTTAGGTGTTTAACCATTAAGTAAGGTGTGTTACCATTAAGTAAGGTGTTTTTCCATTAAGTAAGGTGTTTTATCATTAAGTAAGGTGTTTTACCATTACGTAAGGTGTTTTACCATTACGTAAGGTGTTTTATCATTAAGTAAGGTGTTTTACTATTAAGTAAGGTGTTTTCCTATTACGTAAGGTGTTTTATCATTAAGTAAGGTGTTTTACTATTAAGTAAGGTGTTTTACTATTACGTAAGGTGTTTTACCATTAAGTTAGGTGTTTTACCATTAATTAAGGTGTTTTTTACCATTAAGTTAGGTGTTTTACCATTAATTAAGGTGTTTTTTACCATTAAGTTAGGTGTTTTACCATTAAGTTAGGTGCTTTACCATGAAGTAAAGTGTTTTACCATTAAATAAACATAAGGTGTTTTACCATTAAGTTAGGTGTTTTTCCATTAAGTAAGGTGTTTTATCATTAAATAAGGTGTTTTACCATTACGTAAGGTGTTTTACCATTAAGTAAGGTGTTTTACCATTAAATAAACATAAGGTGTTTTACTATTAAGTTAGGTGTTTTACCATTAAGTTAGGTGTTTTACCATGAAGTAAGGTGTTTTACCATTAAATAAACATAAGGTGTTTTACCATTAAGTTAGGTGTTTTACCATTAAGTTATGTGTTTTACCATTAAGTTAGGTGTTTTACCATTAAGTTAGGTGTTTTACCATTATGTTAGGTGTTTTACCATTAAGTAAGGTGTTTTACCATTAAGTTTTGTGTTTTACCATTAGGTTATGTGTTTTACCATTAAGTTATGTGTTTTACCATTAAGTAAGGTGTTTTACCATTAAGTTAGGTGTTTTACCATTAAGTAAGGTGTTTTGTCATTAAGAGGTAGGACCGTTTGACACCAGATGTAGAGTTATATCTGTTTAGAATAAAGACTGTCATTTTTATGATATTATATCACATTTTGCAGTTCACATGATTTGCTTTTATTTGTGAAAAATCATGTAACGCGCCTCACTGAATCGTCGTAGTCGATATCAAAAGGTATTGTCTTTATAATGTATTGAATATGTATATGTGCACAATTAATAGTGTTTGATTTTATGTGATGGATGTATGTATGATACTTTAACAAGATATTACTGATTGATGGAGTACTGCTATTTTACAGAGAATGTTCACCTGTATACAGTAAAACTTAATGCTTGTTCTAAACATAATGTAATGTTGAACAACTGGGGATCAAAAGATTTAAGATATGTCGCCAGATGACCCAATCGAGAGGACCCTCAGACTTCCTCGGCAAGTCAAATCCTTCTGAACATATGTGGACTCTTAGCTATAAGTCCTTGTTGTTCAGATCATCTTTAGATGGATGGAACATTTTCCCTGATAACCATATTCATAACAAAAGCTGGAACTTCGGTATTTAAGCAGATCAAATGAATGTACATGTATGAAACATAAAAAGTTAATAAAGATTATGAAATATAACCAAGAGTCCCTTTCAAGAAGGCCGTGGTCTAAATTGGTGTCATTGTTTTTTACACAATAAGTGTTGGAAGTGTGTAGGTGGGGAGATGTGTGAGTGTTTCGTATGATTATTACAATTTAAGATTTGGTCAAATATTGAAACTCGATCCGGAAATCAATGTTTGTTGGCTATTACTTAAATCAATAAACAAACAGATATGTGGACGAAAACAACTTTACCAAATAATAATCCTGTACAATTTTCATGGCAATGCACCTCATTGTTATTATTGATAAAATACTACAAGACTGCGCTTTCTCTGTGATTTCTATGTGATAAAAACCAAATCACACCTTCTTCAAATTAGTAGTTCAGTCCACAGGGCAGGTTTCAAACACATTAAAATCAGTATTTGATCTGGATCAAGTCTGTTTTTGGAAGGTTTAGTCTTTGATTTGACGTGTGCACATTTAAGTTCAGAATAACTTTAAAATTTACAACTTATTTCCTGATTATCACTTGCGATCAGTTCTTTATAAAGCATCATTTATATGTTTAACGGTATACAAGGACTGTCAGTAAGAAAATATCTAAATACGGTTTATGATTAAGATACAGTAGGACCAAATAAACCGTCGCGTTGAGCTTTGCATCCGGTTGTCATATAAATCAAATTCAAAAATAATTACACATGTACGGGTTAAACCTTTAACGATTAGAATACTTTTCTTAAAGGGGTATCCTTGGCGTTAACGCGAATCACGATAAAACGTCATAGATCGTGCCTTAAATACAGAAATGGTAATCAGTAAGTCTTCACGACTTCTATATACAGCCAATGTGGTCACTTTCTTTCTACTTAATTAAACTCCCTACCTGAAATAAATAACTCGCTTGTTATTCATATGGTAATCACATGAAGATGAACACGAGAGATCATTGAGGTCTGAATGTGTTGTCATTTTTTGTAAAACAGGGCAAACAGAGTTCCACCGCTGTATATCTATCCAGTACATAAGTTAAGGCATGTCTGTCGTGAAAGGAATGCAAATAAATCCCTCTATAAAAGCATTCTACATCTGCAGTGGATACTATTCAATAAATGAGTATATAAATGTGTACTCAATCACAATCTATATAAATCTACAATACGCATGTATATATCGTGTCACACTTTAATACGAGTTATAACCTGAGGAAACTGCTTTGTGAGTGGTGTTTACCGGGCGATAGCCTAGTATAGATGTATGTGACACACATGTATGAAATATATTCAAATATCGCCCATCTACATTGAGGTGTAAGTGATAAACATGTGAGTGGTTATTGCTCACCTGGCTATACATTCGTGGAAATGGTTTCGTCTGGCGTTTGTCAGTGTTAATATGTGTAGCATAAATGTATGCGAGTGATATTCAACTGCCGTCATGAGGGGGTTAAAAGTTAAAATATTTCTAACATACCTATGTGTTAATCGTTTCATCTGTTGTAGGCCGATATAAGGATGCGTGAAAAGGCAAGCATTAGATAGACGAAGTAAGGAATCATTTAAAATGATGCAGAAAGCCAAACAACGATAATATTTACTTCATCATTAAGTCCGTTTAGCATTTATAAGTGCTCAAGGTCTAAGGAATGACAATATGTATCTGTGTTGTCCCGAAAATCTGTAAAACGAGGGCAGAATGGGAAACGTGCTTTATTTTGTTACAAATTTACATTTTGACTGAAACATTATTTACTTTCCAACTAGTATTTCACGTTAGCCAGACTAAAATAAATTTTAATAAGGTGAACACAGGGCCGACAGCAAAGTCGAATGCGTTATGACGTAATATATTCCCTAGAAAGATGAAGTATGAGAGATAAAATGTGAGATTCTTTACATAGAATAAATTGTGTAGGTAAGTTGAAGTAACATGACTCCAAATTTGTTTCTCTACCTTTTAACTTTTACAATTACGCCCACTAATCCGGCAGCACAACTTTAAACACAATTTTTGAGCAAACTATACGTTGTAAACAAACTGCTCATAGTCTAATTGTAAAATAATGTAACGTCCCAAACGAATACGATTTTTTGATGATCTGTAACAATCACCAATAACACAAGAACCCTTTTGATAAAAGCAGTTATAGCTATTTCGTACTTGTAAATTTTTAGATCTATGCTCATTGCGCGTCTTGCGGTTTTATAAGTCCCCTACCGGTGAAACCGGGGAGACTTTAGGTTTCCTTCCGTCCGTCTGTGTACGGACGGACGTACGTACGTAACACCAATGTTTTTCAGCGCTCTAGCGGCTTCATTCCTTGACGGATTTTAATCAAACTTCACACAATTACAAAGGACCATAATATCTCAAAGAAGTTTGAGTTTCAGGGTTGTTGAGTCAAGGTCAAGGTCACCGTTGCTATTTTTAGAAAATCCTTGTCAGCGGCTTTATTCCTTGGGGGATTTGGATCAAACTTTACACAAGTACAAATGACCATAATATCTCGGACAAGTTCGAGTTTCAGGGTTGTCAATCATTTTATTTTATATAATTCCTCTATCATAATACTAATATTACAATTTCTTGTATTATTATGACATTAAAATCAGTTACAAGCTAATTGTATACTTTTCATTTTCCCAAATTAACCCCAAAGGGCCCCATTTTTATAAATCATTACAGTGTAATAGCTAGCGGGGGCCGGTAGGGGACATGTATTGCTTTAGCAATACTCAGTATTCTTGTTTTCACTACATGTCGTTGGAACGTGATCTAGAATGATTTGGCGGAAGACGTGTACCCTTCAAGAACGAACTGGTCTTATTATCCGTGTACATTGTACATTGTCAAGGGTCACCATTTACATAGTTCCTTATGTTATAATAAATCGCTTTCGCTGCCATGCTAATATGCATAAATCAATACAACATAATAAAGTGAGTACTTATCTGAACAAATAGGGTTGTTTCGGAC